AAAAAAAAAAAAAAAAAAAAAAAAAAAAAAAAAAAAAAAAAAAAAAAGGGAAAAAAGAAAAAGAAAATACATTAACAGTAAAAGGCTACAGTCTTGTGTACCTAGACCTGTAAACCCTATCCTTTGTACTGTTACAAACTTTGTGCATAGCTCTATCATGCACTTCAAACTCTGTCTTTAAGAATGATTGTAAAGGCAAAAACAAAGAGGATTTAAACCTGAGAACCACTTCTTTTAAAGAATCTACGGAACAGTGCAGTGAAAGCCATTTTCTAAACACTGACCATCACAACAAACAGCCGTTCTGTATATCCATGGGGTGAGTATACCAAAGAGGAAAGGAGATAAACATTTGAGTAAAGTAATGAATAAATAAAAACTAAGAATGAGCAGCATTAACTATGATTATGTTAAACCAAAGTGGGGATGTAATGTCCCTGTAATCTACGCCAGTCTTAATAACATAGAGATGCTCGAAAATGTGACTCTTTCAGCTGACCTAACATGCGGCTTTAACGTTACCGGTCATAAAGTATTAACCATTTTAAAGTTCAACAGAGGGGAAAGAGGGTTGTCATGTAATGTAACATATGATTACTGTAATGGTTAGGACAATTTAAAATGTCGCCAGAGTCATTTCTTCATTGTTAACTTCATGGTTGCCAAGGGGTCTCATACTGCCGGTTGTCTGTTGTTCTCCAGGAAGGCGGTAGCTTCACTCGGAGTGTTGAACTCATGTCTGGTTCGATCGACGATCACTCGAAGCTTAGCCGGGAAGAGCAGGCTGAAATGGTGCCCTGCTTTCCTCAGTGCGGTCTTGACACAGGAAAAAGTAGCTCTCTTTCTGGCCACTTCAGCGCTCTAGTTGGCTTAAATGTGAATTTCCCAGCCCCTGTAGGACAGGGGACCTTTCTCTCATGCTAGCTGCATTATATGCTGCTTCTGTTACGGGTGGGTTGTAGGGGTACTTGGGCCCGGAGGGAGGTCTCTCATAGTCCACACCGGGGACCTGCTGGGTGTTCCTGGCAGTTGTCTGGGTCCTAGACGGTTGTTCTGGGTGCTGTTGATGAAATCTGGCGATGAGTCGAGGGTCGCAGATGTTCCGAGCCGGAACCCATTGCCTCTCCTCTGGACCGTATCCCTCTCAGTCAACCAGGTATTGAAGCCCTCGCCCCCAGTGGCAAGAGCGCAGCAGGTAATTAACCGAGTAAACTGGACCTCCTTCGATGAGGCGAGGAGGTGGAGGAGGCGGCGCAGCCGGCACCAAAGGACTCTCCCAGACCGGTTTGACCTTGGATACATGGAACGTGGGGTGAATGAGCATGGATCTGGGGAGCTTGAGCCTTACTGCCGCCGGGTTGATGATCCTCTCAATTTTGAACGGCCCTATGAACCTTGGTCCCAGATTTTTAGACTCCACCTGCAAAGATAGGTCTCTGGTTGACAACCACACCCTCTGATCCACCTGGTAGATAGGGGCTGGAGTGCGGTGTCGGTTAGCCGCTGTAGCAGCGCGGCCCGCAGACCGGAGCAGGGTTGCTCAGGCCCTAGCCCAGGTCTGGCGGCAATGGCGGATGAATGTCTGGACAGATGGGCAGGAAACCTCCTTTTCCAATGCAGGGAACAGAGGTGGCTGGAACCAATACGCACACTGAAAAGGTGACAAGCCTGTTGTGGAGCTGGTCAGGGTGTTCTGGGCGTACTCCACCCACATCAACTGGCGGGACCAGGAGGCAGGATTCCGGGAGACCATGCATTGAAGGGCTGTTTGAAGGGCCGGAATTGAGTCTCTTGGCTGTGCGGATGTACTCAAGGTTTTTATGCTCGGTCCAAACCAGGAATGGGAGCTTGGTCCCCTCCAACCAATGGCACCACTCCTCCAGGGCCAGCTTCACTGCTAGTAGTTCTCGGTTACCAATGTCATAGTTTCTCTCGGCGGGGGAAAGCCGTCGTGAGAAAAAGGCGCAGGGATGGAGCTTTTGGTCAGTGGCCGAGTGCTGGGACAGGACACCCCCAACTCCTATGTCGGAGGCATCCACCTCCACCACAAATTGTCTGTCTGGATCCAGGACTCGGAGGATGGGTGCAGAAGTGAACCTGGACTTCAGGTTCTAGAAGGTCTCTTCAGCTGCAGAAGTCCAACGGAAAGGGGTCTTGGAGGAGGTGAGGGCAGTGAG